AATTATGCTCTAAATAATAAACTAAAACTGCCAGTAGGTGGAGGTAAATGTCTTTATGAGTAAGTCATTGTGTCATTCATTCATTTGATTCCTTCAAACTGCTGATTCATTCAGGAATGAGGTAAACGGCTCTCTTAATGAATGAGCCATTGAATCATTCAGAAACGAGTCACCGCTGTGTTACAGTTCTGATGTGGCTTTATAGGTAATATTTTTGTTGGCAAAATGGAGCAAAAACAGACAATATTGTTTTTAAAATATGACACAATGTTAACTTATTTACTGAACTGTTGTGTAAAATCACATTTGCACTCGCGCTATTCGGGACAAAAACAGCACTTGTGTGATACTGCACTCGCTGCTCGTTTCTGCTGATATCGCTTATTTTATAGGCTACATCACACAGTGAGTTGTTCCCCTGTATCATGTTTGCCAACAGTTAACTGTATAAAATATAAGATGATGTACAGGTCTGAGGTCAGGGCGGGTGCGTTAAAATATGTTAATAACGTTATTTTTCCATAAGAAATGAATTAAATTAACGTGCTAAAACGACATCCTTAATTATATTATAATTATATAACAATTGACAGCAATACATATAAATGTGTATGATTGCAGGGGAAAATATTTTTAGACTACATATAAATAAAAGCATAAAATAAATGAATTACAAAATAATTATTTGAATATATTCTTTATAAATAAATTATAAAATGCTGTTTAAAATAGTTGGAGGTGGACGCTGCTATCATTGCTTGACATGTCTTATCAACAACCATTTACTAAAATCAGATGCCATTAAATCTCCCTGCAATGCCAGTACCAGACAATAGATATCTGTCACTCACATCTTAAAATGGGTTAAGATGTAAGTGACAGATCTATTTATATTAACAAATACATTGATATCCTGTTTTTTAATTAGTTTTGTGAATTATCCCTATTACAAAAGTTCCCTTTTTCCGACACCTAATTCAGAGTGACCTGCTTTCAGCTCTATTGGTGTTAAGTTTCTTAGTGAATTACTTATCAGTCTACATAATGATCACATGCACCCCTCGGCCCTTTTGAGATTCCGAGCCACTGAGGGGTCTTAACCAGTAATGAAGTGGGAGGGGGGGTTCTGCTTGCTAGTACAGAATGGCATGGCCCCTTCCTCCACAGCACGTCTGAAAGTGGTTAATTTATGGAAAAATAGTGGGGAAGGGAAGGCGGCGATATGGAACACTTACCCCCGCGTGACTGAAGGTTGTGCACCAGCAGGGGGAGGAAAACGAGGAGAAAGAGAGAGGGAGATACTGAGAGAGAGAGGAGGGGAGGGAGGCGGGGACCAGAGCGACAGAGGAACGGTTAATGGAAATGAGTGACAGGCTTTCAGAATGATTTACAACGGGCGGGCGGCGGCGGAGCCCGGTGCTTTGATGGATGATCCTGAAAGACGGCGAGCGACCATAAATCATGTCTTTGAATCATTGACAGAGATAAAGGAGGGGGCGAAAATGCAATGGCATTGACGTTCATTCTTCCAATAATGTACATTGACGAGTTACACTACCGAGCCTTAATTAAAAAGTGAACGCGGGCTCTGCTCTCTCTCGCTCGCTCGTCCCCCCTCTTCTCCACTGTGATATCAGCGGTAATTAAAGATGCGTCGAGGCCCCGTCCCCGGTCTTGCTCCCACTTCCGACCGTGGCTCACAGTGGCCAGATTAGATAGACGCTTGGCGAGGAGATAACGTCACTTCCCCTCCTCTCCTCTCAGTGAGGGGCCTCATTGCTCAATGGCTTTCCACTTCACGAAACACGCACAAATACACACCTGCTTTCCCTCCCAACTAGCTGCTATGAGTGTTTCCTACTTCCCTACGCCGTCTGTACAGGTGTCTGACTGGGACTGCGTTTCTAAATTCAAATATCCTGGCACAGCTTGTAGCAGCGCCTTTGCAAAAGCAGTAAAAAACGGCATCCGCACAAAGACGCTGGACAGTATTCAAGCTACACGGATGTGGCAAACAAATTTTGGAGGGCAGCTGCTTCCAAAGAGACTCTTTTCTGCAATGAAGTGATGGATGTCAGGAGTAGAAAGGGAAAGAGAAATACAGCGAGACAGGAGAGCGGGATAGAAAGATAAAGCTGGAGAAGACATGTAGAGGCGGTGGCAGGCGAACTGAGGAGGCAGCATTCCACATCAGATGGGATCCTCCAAAGTGCATACAATAAAGCAGCGAGGTGAAAGTAATCCCGAACATCTGTCCTGGGCGGCATGCACGCACCGCCTGTTTGTTTCAGTCGAGGAAAGAGGCATTCGAGAGGGAGAATGGGATCAATTCATGCACTACTTCTCTGAGGGGATCCAAGCGCAAACGGTACTCTGTTGTTATACATAGCCTGGAACAAGATGGAGACCGATGCAAAGACAGGAAAGAGGTGAAGTGCAAGGGACCCAACTGAATGTTGTTCGGTCGCTGCATGACCTCCCTGCAGGGAGTGTGGCGTGGCAGCTAAAGCTCAGGGCCAGTGAAAAAAAGGTTGCTGGTTCAAGTCCCACAAGGAATGAGTCTTATAGCAAAGTAGAGCATTTGATAGATATGAATAACATGTTTTGAGTGTGTGGAATGCAAAGTTGAGCGCCGTATGGATGAATGGATAGATAGATAGATAGATAGATAGATAAATATACACACTTGCATTTTTTTCTGCATCCTTGTAGTGCATCACCCACACTGAAATCTTAAAATGTGAGTCGCTGTACACAAAAGTGCTACTCACTGACTACTTACTGACATCTCTCCTTTGGATGACTGCATTGTTGAGGATTTTAATGAGGGTGACTTGATGGTACTACCATGGCTTTGACTCATCATCGCTGGATGTGAGTCTAAACGTCCAGCCAGTCTTTGACAATCAGTGAAACCGTGATCCAAACAATGAGGCATTGAGATCGCAGATGCTTCTTTTACTGCTTCTTATGTCACTGTCCTCAGCTGTCAGTGCTTCAAAAGACATGGACGTGGGCCTTACGTCAGAGGCCAGACCTCCTTCTGACTTGGCCACTTAGTTCAAGTCCTGCCTGAGACTGTAACCTTACACTATGGCTCTGTGGGAATTTGTGCAAGTGTGTGTGTTGTGAGCATACTAAGAGACACAAACATGTCCCTCCAGCTGGACGATGACATTTTGGCGGTTCCGAAAAGAAATTGCGGCAACAATAGTGCTCCTGTGGTGCAATACTGTGGCACACACACTACTGGGGCCTAGCGAGAGGTAGAGAAAAACGAGGTAGCGTTGCACCAACCTTGAAGTCTGGGTTTGGGTATTCAATCTGGTAATTATTTTTCATCGGATTCTGAAGTTGTAAATCTATCATGTCGGATCCCATGCTGACATTTTCAAACATAGCTTGATGGACACCTGAAGTAATTACATGTCATTCCTCTGTTTGAAGGTTTCCAGGTTTAGTGCCACATCTTTCTATTCATCTGCTGTCGGCAACCTGCAATGGCATAACTCAAATTTGATTCTATCAAAAAAAGAATGCGTCCTTGATTCTCGACAAAGATGAACAGATGAGGAATTGCATACTGTGATGTGAACACACCAAGAAACTCAATAAACTCGAGAGAGTCTCTTTGTCTTGGAGTATTTACTCGACTCGGGGCCCTGTGATCTTAAATGGTCTTAAAAGATGATCCATACAATAATGAAGTCCGCTCTCCTGTTGGCTGGCCTCCCAAACGCACAACATAATCAAAGCGAAGTCACCAGGGGATTCTGTGGAGCTGCTCTGTGTTTGACGAGCAAACATTCGTTTTATTTGTTTGTCACGGACCTCTTGGCTGAATCCACTAACGATGGCAGAATATTAATTGATGTATATGGAATGTAAATACCAATCTGTAAGGTAAAAGTGCTGCGACGTCAAAATTATGTGTGTGTCAAATTGATGTATACTCAACCTGAATTTAACCCTGAGGTTTATCAATCTCAGATCAGCAGCGGAAGTCATAATGAGACCGCAGTCTTGTTCGGTCCTCACCTACCCACGCACTTGCTACAGAACGGATCCCACCCTCTCCCCTGCACACTGGGTCAGACCACCCTGATTGCAGCAGTGGTGGCTCAGGCATCTGGACTTGCTGTCTTGTTGTTCTTGGAATGCAGTGAAAGCAAATAGCTGCTTAAATGGCCCCCTTCGTTCCCAGACAAAACCAAAAGGCTGTAGAGCCATTCATCAAAAGAGTCCGACAACCTGCTCCTCTACATCCCCCCTCCAGGCACGGCCATATCCCCTCTCTGGGTTTTAACTAGGACTCCATATCATTCCAGAAATGACAAATGATACTTATATCTGTGGCCTGTGCCGAATCAATAGGCATGCAGAACGGCTATCCATCTTGAGAGCTATCGACAGCTGCTGCCTGACATCAGGGGAGAAGCGCCTGGTGGCTTTATTCAACAGTGAGACAAAGCTAATGGCAGCACATATTTTCCCTGAAGTTTGTAAACCGACCGTCCTGTCCTCAGCAGTCCGAGTTTATAGCTTTTAATTTTTTATCTAGCCACTTTTCTTTAGTATACAGTGCTAAAGTTATGACAAACCTTGTGACAAACCAGCTAGTGGCACAGCAACTCTCTGACTACTAGCTTCTTTGCCCATGTTGACTGTATAAATTGCAATTTTTATCTAGCCTCTTCTACAGTGCTAAAGTTATGACAAACCTTGTGTTTATCATAGTGCCACAGCAGCTCTTTGGCTACTACCATCTTTGCTACGATAGGTAGGCTACGTTTTCTAAAGTTTTAGGAGGATTTCTTTTAACAAACATCAAGGCCAGCTCGATTTTATAGATCAGGGGTGGCGAACGTCGGTCCTGGAGAGCCGCAGCCCTGCAGAGTTTTGCTTCAACCCTAATCAAACACACCTGAACAAGCTAATCAAGGTCTGAAGGGTTATTAGGAAGCTACAGGCAGGTGAGTTTTAATTAGGGTTGGAGCTGAACTCTCCAGGACTGGAGTTCGCCACCCCTGTTATAGATTGTAATTTTTATCCAGCCTTATTGCTATAGTATACTATGCTAAAGTTATGACAAACCTTGTGTTTATTGCAGTTAGAACCACGGCAGTATTCTTCTACTGGCTCCCTTGCTACTAGCTTCTTTGCTACGAAAGGTACATTTTCAAAAGTTTTAGGAGGATTTCTTTCAACGAACATTCAAGCCCAGTTCGATTTTATAGATTTAAATTTTTATCTAGCCTCTTTTCTATAGTATACTGTGCTAAAGCTATGACAAACCTTTTGTTTATCACATTTAGTGCCACAGCAGTATTCTTCTACTGGCTCTCTTGCTACCTCTACTTTGCTGCAATAGGTACGTTTTCAAAAGTTTTAGAAATATTTCTTTCACCAAACACGTTGCGTTTACAGCCTTTATTTGTTTTATCTAGCTGCTTTTCTATGGTATCCTGAGCTAAAGTTATGACAAACCTTTGACAAGCATAAAAGTGAAATACTCCCTATGAAAGCTAGCAGTACATTTATGACCTTCTGTAAAGGTATGTAGGTTGTGCGCAAGGCTAGCACCTGCCTGTGTTTACATGGCAGTTTATGCTGCCGTGAGCTGATGGTGGAGCGATACGGGCTCGGGCTGCACAGCACCGTCTGTATCGCAGCAGCTGACAGATAGCACTTCAGTCCAGTTTTAGCTGCACCTTCTCTTGAGAGACCATGATTGATGACTAGCACTGCCACCTATATCCATTTTCCCCTCCGATCTCTCAGGCTGAGGGTCCACAAAACACATTTCTCAACATTTTTCAAACCACCTTTAAGGGCTCTTTACGGGAATGAAGTTAACAAAAACATGAGTTTTGCAAGAAAAAATTTAAAGAGATGACTGATTTGAAATGGTGGTATTATAATGCATTATGGAATTTTAAGGAAGTCTGCAAACCTGGGAGTTTAGGTTTGAACAGAATGATCTTAATATGAATGTGAAAACAATGTTTGCAAAAATTATCCTAAATATATTCCACTTTTATTAATGACAAATAATTGTAAAATCAAGTTAATGTACAGAATGGCCACAAAAATACAAAGAAAAAATATCACTACAAATGTGATTTAATTGGTATGTGTCATTGTGCCTCAAAGAAATATAGAGCTGAGTATTGTCTGTGTAACAGTGAAAACGAACTCTATGTTTCTTGATAATATTTATGATAATATGTACAGGGTGAAAAACAATGGTCCTAGTACTGAGCCTTATGGTACTCCACACCGAATTTGTGATTGATATTCATTTTGAGATTTGCTAAATGTTTTCTTTAACAGCTTTTATTAAATTATTATTGTTTTTAAAGATTAACTTTAAGTGAGTGTTAGATGATGGCAAATGTGATCCAAATGTAATATTGGGGGAAAGAAGCATAAACAATTAAATATTCAATACTGACGGATACAGGAAAAAATAACTAATATTGCCATATGCATGCTTTTCTATCTTTACATCAGTTTCTGCCTTTATAAATACTGATTTTTTCCCCCTGTTAACACAGGACCACATCCATGGAATTCAGGATCAAATGCATTTTATAAACGAGGCCCCAGGATTCCCGTGAGACTATCAAGAGAGGAAAAATAAAAAATGCCGCAGCTCAGACAAAAGACAGTCCTCTGTGTTTTTGTTACAGTCTCAACTGTTTGGACGACGGTCTGGTGTAGTACATCTTTTGAAAACCAAGCATCCAAGCCATCAATTTTAACAATGCCACCATAAACGTGTTAACGAACACTTAGCCTAGCCATCTGGAAGACAATTACACAGGAACAAACATACCAGCTCAGCAACTAAAGGTTGGGTCATCAATCACAGACGATGGTCACAATCTAGATGACTGTTTCTGCTGAGACCCAGCCTAATAACCCAATGAACTGCTGTGTCCAGAAGAAACAAGTTTTAGGCCCTTAGCTTTTCAGTATGCTAAAGGGCATAACAATGATATAACTGTCACCTACGTTTTGTCATTTTATTCAAATGAATCCTCATGAATTGGTTCATTTTACCCAGCAACAGCACCAAAATATTGCGTTCTGTCCCTAAGTTACAAATCAACAATACTGTATATGCATATACTGTACATATTCCTGACCAAAACAGCTATGAGATATCTACATCTAAACAGTGGAGTTAATTCTCCAAGGTGTCCTCCGGTCAGACGTCCACAGTTAAACCAATCCTGCTCTTCTCTTTGAGTAGCTTAATTAATTAACATTTTCTCTTTCTAATTGCAATCATGCGCCCCTTGGGGAGTCATCAAGGGACTATAATTGCAATTACACATTTGGATGAGTTGGTAAAACAATGTCAATGTACACACAAAATCTGAAGAGATACAGAGCGAGGGCTTCAAGTGGGTTAGTTACGCTTCCTGGCGTGGGTTTTTTGATGGGGAGATACTTACAGATGCTGCATATGCAAACAGTGCTAATCAAAGGACAGATCTAATGAGCTGTTTAGACAACATTACATTCATTAGTTTCAGTGTTGACGAGTAACTAACTAAAATGAACAATGCTACTAACTTAACCAAATTTTTCAGTACCTCAGCTGATTTTAATAGCATGGCCTATCCACTAAAACTATTTTCAAACAAACAACTAACAGTTGTGCAATAAAAAATGCTACATTGCCATTTTTATTGCATAATGTAGTATACATTCACCATTCAACCTTACAAACAAACAAGCCAAGGAATTAATCAAACACACTCTTCTGAAATATACCATCTCTCTAAGCAAATCAGTTAATTCGGATACAACTTAATTGGTTCAGGAACTTATTTAATCAATCTCTCTCTCTCTCTCTCTCTCTCTCTATATATATATATATATATATATATAATTTGAAAAAATTTAAATGAAATATATCTAAAATGTAAAAATCATATATATAGTAATTGTCACAAACGCTACTGTGAGGGAGCGCGGAGCGAGGAGACATCAAGGGAACCAGGAAAACACACGTAGCAGAGGAGGTTGACATAAACATAACATGGAGCACGTGGGGAACAAAACACAAAACACGGAACAGAGTCTGACATTATTCCCGTGCTGGGCAATCTGGAGGCCTCTCAGGACAGGCTTACAGGAAATCCTTGGGGGGAATATCATCTTTAGAGGCCCTCCGTAGCCCTCTCTGGGCTGAACTCGGGGACTGGAGCCCTCTCTGGGCTAAACTCGAGGGCTGGAACCCTCTGTGGGCTAAACTCTGGGACTGGAGCCCTCTGTGGGCTAAACTCGGGGACTGGAGCCCTCTGTGGGCTAAACTCGGGGACTGGAGCCCTCTCTGGGCTTGACCTGGGGACTGGAGCCCTCCTTGGGCTGGACATGGGAACTGGAGCTCTTTCTGTGCTAGACTCGGGGACTGGAGCCCTCTCTGGGCTGAACTCGGGGACTGGAGCCCTCTCTGGGCTAAACTCAGGGACTGGAGCCTGGAACCCTCTATGGGCTAAACTCGGGGACTGGAGCCCTCTGTGGGCTAAACTCGGGGGCTGGAACCCTCTATGGGCTAAACTCGGGGACTGGAGCCCTCTGTGGGCTAAACTCGGGGGCTGGAACCCTCTGTGGGCTAAACTCGGGGACTGGAGCCCTCTCTGGGCTAAACTCGGGGACTGGGACTCCCTCTGGGCTAAACTCGGGAACTGGAACTGACACTGGAGCGAGCTCTGGGCCTGGAGCCGACAAAGGAGCGAGCTCTGGGGCTGGAGCCGACACTGGAGCGATGCTCTGGGGCTAGGATGAGGGCGGAGAACAGTCTTTTTCTCGTCATCCTCCTCCTTTTATTAGAGGACATCGGCGCGGCCGGCGGGCTTGACATCAGAACGGCCAGCAGGCTGGAGAGAGCTACGGCCGGCGGGCTTGACTGAGGAACGGCCGGCGGGCTGAAGAGTGCTGCGGCCGGCGGACTTGACTTCGGAACGGCCGGCGGGCTGGAGAGTACCGCGGCCGGCGGGCTTGTCTGCTGAACGTGCTAGCGCGATGAAGCGTGCAGCGATCTCCATAATCGCAGGGGGAAAACACAAGAAAACAAAAGACTTTCAAAAATGGAAAAAAACTCGGGGAGAAGAGGCGCCGCTCACTTTATGTTCTGGTCCGGTATTCTGTCACGAACGCTACTGTGAGGGAGAGCGGAGCGAGGAACGAGGAGACGTGGAGTACATCAACAAGGAGACTTTAATAACATCAAGGGAACCAGGAAAACACACGTAGCAGAGGAGGTTGACATAAACATAACATGGAGCACGAGGGGAACAAAACACAACACAAGACAGAAACAGAGTCTGACAAAGTGTGTGTATATATATATATATATATATATATATATATATGTGTGTGTGACAAAGCAGTGACTGCTTTGATTTCTGTATAAAATTAAATATATATTAAATAATTACATATACAAAATATAATTAAACATTATAAATATAATTTATTTGAAAATATAAAAAAATAATAAATTATATATATATTGATACATACATCTATAGTTGTAAATAAATCAGGTTGACTTTGTTTTGAGTAGCTTGTAACTTGTCAAGCTTCACTTTCAAAGTAGTTTGCTCAACACTGATTAGTTTGTATTTTATTTATAGGATGCAATGACAAATGATTTCTCATTTATCTATCCGTGAATATCCTGATGTTTGATAAGCTCTAATCTCACTCTGAAGTCATTATAATGGATCTGAGTAAGACGTCATTCTCCAACCCTTCCTTCTGAACACGCTTCACTAGTCGGTGGTTGATTCTCACTTGATGTCTCTTTCTTCCTGCAATGCCCAGCTGAGACCTCCTAAGCTACAGAGACCGTCTAATATTTCCATTTACTCCTGAGGAACCTCTGATTCTGAGTACGGTATGCCACAGCATACCTTCCACAATTAGGAGCCGCATGCAGAGAGATCGGAGTTTCCTGACTCAATCCCTACACCCAATCTTGAACATTCCAGCAAATAAAAAACACTCTGGGAAAGCCAGATCCCTGTCTGCCCTCCCCCAAACACAAAACATGAATGAGGTGGTAAGAAAGAAAGCCTGACAAGGGTAACCAGACCCCTGCTGGGTGTGATTTGTTTGTGCGATCACGAGACTCTTGGGTTTACACTTGTACACCACAATGGGAGGTAGAGGTGGTGTTTTGTCTCATGTGGGTAAAAAAACACAAGCACAACACTGTGAGCTATCACAACCTTATCTTTGAACAGTCACTTTATGTGATCAATGCTTATGAAACGTCAAAATCGGCAGTCTTCATGACAGGTGCTGAGCTTGATTGGCAACGCTGTATCTGATTAAGAGCGAATGCTGCTTTTCCACTGATGCAAAGCTTAGAATGTGTATTTGCTGTAAACTTGACATAATCAAGATGATTGTGTTTGTATAAATGATTGTATGTAAACAAATAACACATCTTAAACTAGATGTTTTACGTTTTGGGAAGAAAATATGAGTGTGCTAGGCCACATTGTAAAAATGATTTTTTGAAGTTGTAAATAAAACAAAAATTATTACAGTACGTTTTATAAGAAAATACTATTTCAGACTTTCTACTTCACAATTTCATACTTAATTCAGTGCTACTTGCCATTTCTTTGTGATTAACTTGGAAATGTACTTGCAATTTCCAAGTGAAATTAAAAAAAATAATAATTCATTGAACACAAAATGTAATGCTTTAAAAAATGTTTTTTTTTTTTTTAAAGTTGTAAATAAAACAAATTAATGCAGTAGGTTTTAGAAGAAAATACTATTTCAGCCTTTCTACTTAAAAAAAAATTAACATTTAATTCACTGTTACTTGCTGTTTCTTTGTAATTATTTGTAAAAAAATTACTAGAAATTTCTGAGATTTTTTATTATTTATTTATTTCAAAATTTAATGTCAAAATACTACGCTGTAATTTTTTTTTTCAAGTTGTAAATAAAAATAAAAACAGATTTTCGAAGTAGGTTTTACAAGAAAATACTATTTTAACCTTAATAATACAAAATTTAAATTTACTTGCGAAATTTACTGGTAATTTCTGAGTGAAAATTGATTCTACATCATTTTTAAAAAATTGTATGTAGAAACAATTCTCACTCAGATATTTCAAGTAAATTTCAAAATTAATTACAAAGAAATGGCAATTAACACGTTGAATTAAACACCAAATTTTACGCAGAAAGAAATAGTATTTTCTTGTAAAACGGGTTGTAAATTTTTATTTACAACTTAAAAAAATGTTTTTACAGCGTAGTATTGTGACATAAAATTTTGTGTTGTTAATAGTCATTAAATTGTTCTGAGTGGTTGCTTGCATGTTTCTTTGCATTGCTAGGGTGGTTTTTAAGGTGCTAAGTGTCGTAAGTCAAAAGAGCCCAACCACCAAGTCTGTATGATTTTCTTGCCTCTAAATATCAGTAGTTTTTGCCCATTTTTATCATTTGCCAGATGAAAATGGCAAGTCTGATCACTTAGTAAAGCAATGCTCAAAAAAGCTGAGCACAACTGCTGCGGGAAGAGTTGCGCACCCAGGTTTTATACACATAATATGGGGTTTGTTCAAATCCCTAACCCCAAGTATGCAATAGCTATGCTTTCCTTAGCAAGCTACACAAACAAAAGTGCATTAACAACGATTGGCATTCACGGACGACAGATTAGAGATGATTTGCAGACTTGTTACTAAACTCGCACAAAGCTGGGAGATACTAATCGCACGAAAAGCATTTCTGCACCTCACAAAACCACCGGAGTGCTTTAAATCCTCAATTTAAGACAGTGAGGGATTGACGCAGCCAGTTCTTAAGCACACGGGGAAAAAAGCTCCAGGAGTCACTCATATCCCCCTGCTGAAAAACCCCCTCCATTTAATGATCCTCCACTAAGGAGAATCTACACACCTCCGAAAGAATTCAAATCCCTTTTCCCACAGCCTCTTTCAGTCCGTATGATAAATGACACCCGTCATTCCGCCGTTGCCAAACAGCACAGAGGGGAATTGTACTGATATATGATTCACAAGAACAGGAAATAAACTCTCCCTTTCTCTATCGCTCGTTCTTTTGCCAACTAGGGCGG